ACATGAACTACATTTCCCCTGATGCATTAACTACATTCACCATGAGGCATTCTCTTAAGGGGACAGCTCCCAATTCCTAACTAACTATCCCAATTTCCAATTAACTATATACTGTCTGGACAGCACAGGAAACACATGGTTCCTTTCTTTCTTCTTCTAGTATAAATAGATTGCTTAACCTTTTTCCAGTCTCAGCTTCTGAAGAGGGGAGTAAAATTTCAAGTGAAGGATTATTTGCTCTATCTGAAAGATGGACATTTTGGCTGATATCCCAACTCAGATGGAAGATAACACAAAAAGCTACTGCTTACTTCAGAAATTTCATCTGATGTGATTCTTCATTAAATTTTGAGGTTTTTTTGTTATTTTAAATTGGCTGAATCATCATTTTTCAGTTTTTCATGATCAACTTGAAACGATCAGGAGGAAATTGAGTGAGATCAAAAACCAGTTCAAAGAACAAAAACTTAAAAGAGTGAAGCAAACAAGAAATTAACTCCAGCATTCCAATACTTGAAAGATACTGGTGGCTTGAAGGTATCTTGTCAAGAACATATCTAAGATCAAGAAAATGGGGAGAAAATAGTTTACTCAGATTCTGTTATGTATGACACAACAAACCTTACCAGAAGCTTTCAAAAATATTGTTGGACTTGTTTTAGATAAATGTTGCTGGATCTATGGAGGTAGCTCACTGAGATACAATTCTTCACAATCCATTGATCCTGTTGTTTAACTTTTTTCCCCATGAAGTTTATTGAGGCAACATATGGCAAGCAGCTAGAATGGCAACATTTTTGGACTATGAGGCAAAGAAACAAGCTATTTCCAGTTTATCTTTCACAAAGATACAGAAGTATAGAGATTTCTACTAAGATTCTCAAATGGCCAGACAACAAGGGATTAAAACATTCTTCTTATTTCTAACAGTACTTGTCTTATGGATACAAACTGGGAAGGGGAAATTTAATGAATCAAAATATCTGATAATTATAAACAACAGATGGCTGTGATGTAGAAGTGCCACAACAGCTCAATCAAAAATGATTCAGTGGTATGGAGAATTAGTTATATTTTTAATTCCTCTTTTCCATTCTGAATTTTTATTACAGGTCTTTTAAAAGTTATTCATTGCCAAGAGGACTTTTGTTGTTTTCAGCAATAATGAATCATATAAAATTGAAGATTTCAGTTTTTAAAAATAGTGGTTGCTTTTACTTTGCACATGGATTCTAGCCTACTTGCCACTCCAAAATAATACGATACTCAATATTTTTTTAAAATGATTGTTTGTATCATTGAAAGGAAGAGCTAAATGAAGGTTTATCCTTTGACATCAACTCAACTGATTAAATAGGTTTTTTGTGTAAGAAACAAAGTTTTGAATGAAACTTTTAGGAAAAAAAACTGAATAGATTTCTATGTAAAAATTCAAAATAGGACAAAGGAATGGCAATTTTAGTGAAAATGTCTTCTAACTTGAAATATTTTTACAATAGGTTTTTAGATTCTAAAGGTTGCTATAAAATTATAGTCACATATAGAAACACATTAGATGGAAAATGCTTATAGCTTCAGCCAAAGATAAATACTTTATATTGTTTTTGCTTATTTGGGGTGGGGGTTAAAAATAGGTTGGATAATAATTTCTGAAGACTTTAACTTATTGAAGCCATTATTAGAGGGAATGAGATTTCTAAAAAGAAAATGTATCACAAAAGTTGCAATGCTGTCTATAATACATTCAGCAGCATAATTTAGTGGATATAGGGTGATTGCTTAATTCCAACAGACAATAGTTTTTTAATCTATCCCACAAGGCAGTTATTCAAAACATACTTGTTTAATATCTCATTTGAGAAATGTAGAACAGTATCAGTCCAATTTTAATTTCTCAACATGTCCTGTATTAGTATAGTTGAATTTGGGGGGGAAATTATATTGGTGGGAGATGACATATTACTATTTTATGATATTTTACTACTTCTTTCCTGGAAGATTTGAATTTGTAAACTAACAAGAGAAACAACATATAAATTTGTTTTTTTCCAAACAAATAACATTAAAATTAAAATTTACTGGGGACAGTTTCAAGTATATTTATACCATTCATTTGTAATAAGATAATATTGCATCTGATGTGTCTGGTGGAAAAGGATGCATGGATCACAGTATAGAAAATTTGAATTAGAAATAAATGAAATGCTGAAAGAATATTCTTTAAAACAGACTGAGGTATTATATAACACTGAAGTTAGAGCACCTGAATGTCCTGGACCCAGATTTTTTTTAAAGATTTGTCCATTTCTATAGGTACATCCATTAGTTAATGACAAGGGCAATCTGGACAATTCATTGCAATATTTTTGTATATCCTTTAAAGACCTTTCCCACACACTCTTATATTTCATACAATTGGGTCATTGGTTGTTGTGGCATTTACGGATTTATGATTTTAAAGTTTAGAAACTCTGAAAAGATCTGGCAGAGTAGGTGGTTTATTTGAATGTGGTATACATACACACACATTTGGTAGTTTATTTTTTATTTGATTTGATTTGACAATCACTTACAAGATAATAGGTATAAGTATATACATAGTTATGAATACATGAAATTGATACATATAAGAAAAATATAAGAAACAAAAGGACAGGGATGGTAGGCACGTTGGTGCGCTTATGCACGCCCCCTACAGACCTCTTAGGAAAGGGGTGAGGTCAATAGTAGACAGTCTAAGGTTAAAGTTTTTGGGGTTTGGGGAATAAACTAGAGTCAGGTAGAGTATTCCAGACATTGACCACTCTGTTGCTGAAGTCGTATTTCCTGCAATCAAGTTTGATGCGGTTAACCTTGAGTTTGTATCTATTGTGTGCTCTTGTATTGTTATGGTTGCAGCTGAAGTATTCATTGACAGGTAAGTCATTGCAATGCATGATTTTATATACCATACTTAGATCAGACCGAAGATGGTGTCATTCAAGGTTTTCTAGGTCTAGAATTTCAAGTCTGGTGGCATAAGGTATTCTACAACGAGTAGAGTAGTAGTTTCAATAAGCATGGGGTGCTTGTTATCAATTTCATAACTATTTACATCCTGGGACTCTTTTTTTTTTTAGCTTTTTATCACACCTTAGATAACTCCATTCTTCTAATACAGGGGTGGGCAAACTTTTTGGCTCGGGGGCCGCATTGACTTTTAAAATTTGACAGACGGGCCGGGTCAGCACAAGATTTTTTGGGAATCGCCCCCCCTTCCCCCCCTCTTC